CCCCACAGCTGAAAGGGCGAACATGTTTGGTGGGACGGGGATTCGAACCCGCGACTTGCAGATTAACTGACGATTAGCTTCCAATTTCCCTTTAAAAAATTACATTGTGTAAAGGTCAAGAAGTGCTTCTGGAACAGTTTCTGCTTCTTTTGTTTACCTTGTATCTTTGAATATCTGAAATGAAATTTAAGACTTACACTAAGGTGGACATTTTGAAATTAAAGAATCTCAATCTAAAAACAATTATGGAGTAAACAAAAAAAAATGATGCAAAATCAGTTTTACTATAATTCTGCTAGTAATGAAATAAATTTCATTTGACCTTATATAACTATAGACTAACTTCACCACTATTTTTTTTCCGCTTGTGTTCGTAGCCGCGGCATAACGACTCATAGTATGGCTCTGAGTTTTTTTTTCATATACAATATTTTAACTCATAGCTTCATCTCTTGAAAAATTTGAGATCTAATTACAGCCGCGGTTATTGGGTGTTCTCCCTTTTTTGTTTACGCTCTTTTCAGCAATACAATTATCATTAATTTTTGAATGTGAAGTACATTCTAAACACAGGCTAAAAATAAAGGACACATTTTATTCTTTCCAATATAACTGAATTATTGCTGTAAAATTTTAAACCTAATTTGGGTCAATACTACATGTACATGTATATAAATTATATGAAGTACGTGTATTACCTGTTTATTGACTTTGTAAACTGAGAGTCCTGTACATAATTTTCTGGTCTTAGTTTCTGTGATGGTGCCCAATCTGGGCATGTTTGGTCATAGAGAGCAAAAGGTTTGCCATAAAAAATAAAATGTTGATCAAATTAAAAATTAATATAGGCCTAATATGTTGTAGCTTACGTTTAGCTTTTGTACTATATTATCTACAGCTAAAGTAATTATTTCAAATTATTTTATTCTTAAATTTTAGTCCTTTTCAAGAAAAATTGTTATACAATTATAGAACATTTTATTCACAGAGTCATGACTAACACTATTGTTATAGTCATACGAAACAACTAAATACAGAGTATGTCGATTGTGCATGTACATTATCAAATACTGGGCAGAAAAATATATATAGTTGATATAATGTAATTTTATGCTTACCTGTAACAAAATGATCGGAAGACACTTTGGAATAAGGCCTTGGTGTCCAGTCTTTTCTCCCTATCCTTACAATTATCTCCTTTTTTGTTAACAGATCAATCGTCATTTCTTCTTGATTTGTAATTACTTTTTGGACAGCTTGGATGACCTTTTAATTTCTACACGATCTGACCTATTGTGACATCAATAAATAACACAGTTATTAACCACTATATTGTTTACTTTTAGCTTAAGAGCTATTTAAATTTCAATAACGAATCAAGTGTAAACTTCCAGATAGCGTGCTGTACAAAATGGCGGATGATCTCTTGAACTTTTGTTGGTGACGTCACGTGAAATCTATGTATAATTTTACCAGAACAGAAAATGAGACTCGTCAGACCACATCATAGTCCAAATTTTGTATTCTACTAAAAATCAAGAGATTAATTTTATTCTGATTTTCTACTGCTATATCGTAGGCCAATGTTTGTGTTGTACAAAAATTAAGAGAAGTTTTTGTGCTGATTATCTACTGGTATATGACAGTTTTTTCTAATAGGATTATTCCGAGTTGCGGTTGGAGATAGTCGAATCTTGACCTCTGTAAGCGATTTTTAGAACATTGGAATGATGTATCAAATCATGATTGGGCCAAACCTGCTCCTTCATGATTATATAGAACATCAAATGTGTTAGGCCTCATTACATGGAACATTCGAAGAGTTAAGCCTGATTACACATAATACCCAAAGAGTTAGGCCTGATTATACATTATACCCAAAAGAGTTAGGCCAGCCTAGCTTGTTCTAGTAAATTTAATTAAATAATACTTTAATATTAGTAATATCTTAGTAATATTAGATGAATATAACTTTACTGTTTTCTTATGTACATGTACTGATACTTATGTTCAATTCTAGCATCATACGAATCTGTCAGTTGTTGCACCGGTCATTCGTTAAAACCCCACCGTTGTCTCAATACTTTCTTAGAGCGTGATTTTCACTTAATTCAACCTTTCTTTACTGAATACTCCTCTACTGGTCGCAGGCTTATAACTCCTGAAGGACCGGGTTTGGATGATATTTGCAGGTAAACCTATTTCAAATTATAACATTACCGGTTTTTGTTTTACTTTATTTCTCATTACCAATAAGAAGTAATTTTACGAATACTTCTCGTTTTCATGTCGTTATTACGAAGTATTTTTTAAACGACTATCAGAATACAGCTCTTTTTAAATATAATAAAATTTTATCATATTTATTACTCAACCATATGTTTAGAAAATGCAGTATATGAGCTAATGCTTTGGGAAGCTGTTTTTTGTTGTTGATTTTTTTAACGATTCATTGTTGTATTCGATGATGAGTATGTAATAATTCGTTGGATATTAGTATTCGTCGTCGTTAGCTATAATTGATGTAAACAAAAGAGTTTATTTAGTTTTTATGTAGAAATATTCCAAAATGTTGAGCCAATAGTTAGTCTATGAGAAACAAATAGGTGACAGAAGGTCATTTGGTCCACCAAAGATCGACAAAGAGCTACAAAAATATCGAACATCAATATAGCCCTTCTAAACAACAAAATATTACCTGTTCAACATTTCAAAACCGTAATAATTAACAGTTTGTTTCTGTGTAGTTAAGCACAAAGCTACACAATGAGCTGTCTGTGCTGTGCCCACCATGAGTATCGAGACATCGTTTTTTAGCGTTGTAAGTCCGTAGACCACTGAACTACTGGTTGTGCGAAAATAAACAGCACAAACCACACAATAACGCAAATCATTCTAAAAGTTTCAAACTGAAAAACAACTGTGGAATAATTTAGTCATTTCACACATAATATTGAAGAATCTACTCTTAACTTAAACAACATATTGCTATAGCATTGTTCTTTCGTGGGCGGGTTCTTTTGAATTATGTAGTGAAAATAATTCAACATCTTGTCCAATTTAGGAAAATATATCAGTTTATTTCTTCCTTAATGTTTCTTTATGAACTTTTACACGTTGTAATTTGTGTTAGGCTTACGTTTAAATATGACTTTAAACCTCTCTAACAACAGCAACGGGACCAACGTACTGTTACGACAGCGGAAGTCACACGACGCTGGGAGCATGCTCGCTGGAGTTTCTTCCATATTGCCTCATACTTATCCA